CTACAGAATTTTTACAGTCTTTATTTTACAGTTTAAATAAATGTTTATCAAATAAAGTTTAATGTTACAACTAATCGTGGATCCCTTTAACACATCTAGTGATTTCCTTTTGATTGTTTGATTGATTGAGTTTTTGTAAACATCATTTTATCCAAACATCTTTTGCACAAAACTGAAGTGTCTTTTCTTTAGTCAGAGGACAGCGAGGTCAGTGTAGAATAAATAGYTTAAATGTGCTTTAGTAGGGATTTCCAGTGCAAGCTCATCACACAAGGCAAAAGTGGACATTCTTAAAGTCGGCTGCAACATCATCCTTTTCCTCAAACCTTCTTCATATCATACGCATACACTAAAATACAAAAAAAATTATGATAAAAAACTCTTCAATCAAGGCCAATGTCAATATTCTGCTGAGCATAGCTTTGCAAAATGGCTGGCTGCTYCACCTTCTTTCCTGTTTTTATCCAAGGGTCAGAAACCCAGTTGTTACACTTTTTGTTGTTAGGTAAAAATCTATCAGGTCAAAGTTAAATCAAACAAAAATAAAACAAAAGCATWTTACTATTTATATAAGTTTAACAAAATAACTCACACAAAAGTAGCTGAAAAGGGMRTTTAGAATATTTTAGCTTTAGTTTTTTTTCCCTCACAGACAAACATCAGTATGGAAGCCGAGAGACATTTTTCCYGCTGATGATTTTTTCCCCATGGTTTTCTCGTGATGATGACATAATATATTGTTATCATGAGAAAACTGACATATCATGTCGTTAACATGAAATAGAAATGAGTGTTTTCTCGTGATGATGATGAAGTTTACTATCATAACACAGGCTGAAATTGCAGTTTGTTTGTCTTGTACAGATAACTTTCATATCAGCCCTCATCATTTGAAGAGACAGCTAGCCCGACTGCAGCTCAACACACGTTTACACTGAAGTGATCCTGCTCAGGGGCGGAGCTTCAGGGGGGTCTGGGAGGGTGGCATGAGCCCAGAGGGAGATAGAGCTTAACCCTCAATTTGCTGTTCTGCTCTGGTCCGATCTCTGCAGTAAATAAGCAACCATCATAATCAAGAAGAGCAGTGGTGGGCAGCGCTAATCCAAAAATTAGTTCCGCAATTTCCAAAGCGCTTATGTAAATATTTAGGTCCACAACTTCAAAAGTGTTTATGCCATAGAAAAACCAGCTGAAGCTAATTTTAAAGCACAAGTTCAATAAGACACCCACTAGCTGGCAGTAATTCATGTACAATTTATGCACAATACTGCCAACTAGCAGTTTATGAACTCTTTTACAGCTTAATCCTACAACCACCGATTGCTGGGGATGTGATTTCATGAAACAGAACTTTGGCTCCTGGGGTAAAAATTAAAAAGTTTTTGAGGATTGCTAATTCAGCTGCTTCTTTGTCTTTTTCTTTTGTTTATTGTAGATTTTTCATTAAAGAAGCATCAATAAAGTAATTTTAAAACTGTTTATTGGAAAACTGAAGCGATGCATTCTGGGTACATGACGGATTTGATTTGTGACAGGAAACGAAAGCACGGCATACAGGAAACTATCTTCACTTGGGAGACTGTGATGAAGTGATTTAACGCAGCCTGCTGGTTTCTTCTTTAGATTCTTCTTTTTATGTACAGAACCCTGAGACAACGTATGTTGTGACTTGGCGCTATATAAATAAACTTGAACTTGAACTTCAAAATAAGAGCGTGGATTTTAAAGTTTTCCATACTTTTGTTGTTGCTCCAGTTGACCACTAGATGACAGTCTTCATCAGCATAACAAATTTAAATCATTTCTACGCCCCTTCAGCTAACCCCGTTGGCCGATTGCTTCAACCAATTATGTCAAGTATTGAGCTCCAGCGTTTAATTACTTTTTTAAAAAGGAGCTCCGATTGTAAAGTAAAATAAATCAATACATACAAAATTTTAGTATGGATTACAAACTTTAACTGTTTTCGCCCGGTCACATAGTTCTAACCATTACCTTCCGGCTATGTAAACAGACACAAAGGCTGTGTCCAAAACGACAGGCCGGGTCCTCCGGAGGACCCAGACTACCCTGTCGAGGTGGGCCGGGTCCTCGGTAGACCGGAAAGACCGGAAAAAAAGAGGCTGTGAATTTGGATGGTCTAGCCTCCCCTCCACCTGGGCACATGTCATGTCACCTAGCAACCGTAACGACGCTAAACAGAAGCAAAAATAGATAAAAATTAGAGAAATATCGATATATTAGCATTAATATCACAAAACAATAAAATTAACTTAAAGGTAACATTTGAAGAACTAATTGTAGGTGCATGTTTATTTCGAGTTTTTTAAGATAAAAATAATATTTAAAAACATGTCCATACAAATGATAAAAGTATTAGAACT